ATTTTATGAACAGTGCATCTGAAAGAGAGGAACAAAACTACTTGAAGATGGTCGGCTAATGCTACAGTTTCCTACCCAATCGTTTCATTATAGAGATGGCACATTCAAATTCTGTTTCCAAATTTCAACAGTCCTTTATTAGTAAACTCCATTATCCCATTGTAGGCAGCTGAACAATTAGAGCAGTGAAAAGATAAATGTACACTGAATTTTTCACGAGAAGTAACTGCAGCAGTGTAGCTGTAGCCACAGCTGAAAAGCTGAGAAGATGGTCGTGCAGCAGCTTATAAGCATCTTGGAGGAAGAGGATTATCTGGACCCCTTTCAGTCGGGATTCAGGCCTGGGTATGGGACTTAAATGGCATTGGTCACCTTTTTGGATGACCTCTGGTGGGAGTAAGATGGAGTAGTGCATCCATCCTTGCTCTTCTTGACCTCTCGGTGGCTTTTAATACCATCAACCATGGTATTTTTCTGGATCAGCTCCAGGGGCTGGGAGTGGATAGTACTGTATTGTGCTGATTCTCTTCCTCTGAGGCTAGCTCCAGTTGGTGTTGATTAGGTGGGAGAGGTCCCACCCTCAGCCGCTCCTTTGTGGGGTGCCACAGGGTTTGGTACTTTCTCTGCTCCTGTTCAACATCTACATGAAGCTTCTGGGTGAGGTTATCTAATGGCACAGAGTGAAGTACCATCAGCACACTGATGATATCCAACTTAACATCTCCACCCTGGGCCAAGTAAGTGATGCTATGGAGAACCTGTCTCAGTGACTGGAGGCTGTGGGAGTTTGGATGAGTAACAGTAGGCTTCAGCTTTACACAAGCAAGACTGAGTGGCTTTGGATGTTGGGGCCCCTTGGTCCTGGGGACTTTCTACCTCTTGTTCTGGATGGAGTTGCAGTAACCTAAACAGAACCTGTGCACAATTTGGGAGTCCTTCTGGGCTCATGGCTCCTGTTTGAGAAACAGGTGGCAGCCATGGCTAGGAGGGCCTTTATATAGCTACATGTTGTGCTCCAGTTGCACCCGTTTTTGGACTGGGAGACCCTGCCTTGGTCACCTCTCATATGGATTACTTCAATGCGCTCTACATGGGGCTGCCCTTGAAGAGTATTCGGATGCTTCAGCTACTGTAAAACGCGGCTGGGCAGGCAATTATGTGCACCCCTCACTCAGCGCATGTTACACCTCTGCTCTGCAGGCTGCATTGGTTGCTAGTTTGCTTCCAGTTTCAATTCAAGGTGTTGCTGATGACCTATAAGGCCCTTCATGGTATGGGTTATTTGAGAGACTGCTTCAATCACATCTACCTGTCCCATCAGGTCTGGCATGAGGAGTATGCTCTGGGTCCCATCAGCCAGAGAGTGTTGTCTGGCAGGGACCAGGAAGAGAGCCTTTTCTGTCATGGCTCCCACTCTGTGGAACATCATCACCCCAAAGATCAGATTGGCCCCAACCCTGCTGGCTTTTCACAAGACGTTAAAAATGTGAATTTGCCAATGGCATGAGTATCCAGGCGTGTGGTAGAGCCTGTGCAGTGGCTGTATTAACTGTTATGGGTGGATGTGACTACCTCAGCTATGAATTTTGCTATATGGTTTTATATTGTTTTTAAACTGCTGTATTGTTTTGGTGTTATTAATATTGTTTTTAATTGTTTGTGAGCCGCCCAGAGTCATATATTGAGAAAAATAAATAACTAGTAAAAAGTAGCATTGCACAACTTTCTAACACTGACAGTTTGGCCATTCCTTACCTCCTGCTAGTGCATTTTTAACACTGGAAGTCACTTTGCTGACAATAGCAAATTCTGTAGCAACATTACCATTATTATAGCCCCTTTAGCTATATTACACCCTTTAGCTTCTCTGTTCAATTTTAATGTTGCTGTCACAATTCAGAGAATCCTGATGATGCTCCCTAGTTGGATAATGAAACATCTGCAAGAAAACAACCACGCTCAGAGAGCACCAAGGACTCCGCAGTTCAGCCTTGAGCTACAGGTATTCTCTTCTATTGGACTAGAGAAACTGGCTCACTGAAACCACTCTGGAGAAGGAGGTTATGGAAAAGAGCAAGAGAGGCCAAAGAAGGGGCTGCAACAGAAATGTGTTAGATCAGCCTGGCAGTCCTTGTTGAAGCATCACATTTCCAGGTGCAACCTTCCTAGAATGATATTGTAGATGTATATATTTGAACATTCAAGCTTAGTGTATGAACAGATTTAACAATTGTAGGCAATAGCACCAATTGCAGCCTCTGCCTTTCTTTTACCCAAATATCTTCCTTTCTTACTAGGAGCAGCTTCTCTTCAGCCAGTTACATCTTCCCCTGAGATACCAGGCCTGTAAGAAGCTCATACAAACCAACACCCCACCCTTTCTGCCCCTATGTTCCTGGGTCTTTTTCTTTTCCCACTGGGAGTCAATATTCCACAAACCTGGATCTCTGGATATCTTATTTAACTATTTTTGGAAGATGAAATTGGGTGGAAAACCACTCCCTTTTATTTTATTTTAAAATCATTATTATACTTCTGCTAAACAAGCATGCTGATATTGGTATCTTGTTTCTTGGGACCCATTTAGCTTCACTGCTTTCATTATGGAGGAAATGAGTTGGCATTCCTTACACTGAAAGCGCAACTTAAATTGGCTTAATTGTGAAGCTTACCTCAAGAGGAAGTATAATGGTGGGTGACCCTGGTGTGTCCTGGGGATAGAGAATTTCCAGTACAGAATTGGTCTCAGTGCTCACTACAGCCCGGCTGACAAACTTGCCATCTGGCCAAGTCACTTCCAGGCTGCTAGGCTCATCCTGTCCTACAAGGAAGAAGCACAAGGAATTGCTAAGTAATGGAGAAAACTGCAGCCAACATAAAAAGAGGAATGGCTGTTAAAAACCACCTTTCCTTCAATGTTCATGCTTAGTTTTCCTCCTCCCATATTTTAATAGCTGTTCCCAACAGAGATGAAAGAACTTGAGATGTGATGGGGTTGTATCCTTCCATCTACCACTCTGTGCCAAGACCAGCAGAAATGTGGAACATTTGGGCATATAGGCCCTTTGAATTTCTGAGCCACTTGACTTCACTTACAGCTCAATCTAACCTGGCAATGCCCCACTAAACCAAGCTACCTCAAGGATGCAGAAAAGTAATGAGGTGTGGAGAAATGCAGTGCCTTCTGCAGAAACAGCTGGAGGAACAAATCAGGGCTTCAGTATTATGCAAACTCTGCTCTCTGGGAATGCAAATTACTATTAACACCCTTTATACTCTTGATGATATATCAACTATTGTTAATACATAAGACAATAAAATTAGCTTGCTAAATATTTTCAAAGAAAAGGGCTATGGTCTAGAAATAGGCTTTAGTGCAGCTGTGGTTTAGCATCTGCGGATCTCTAGAAATGTAGGGGGCTGCTACAGCCCTTCAAAAACTTGCTGCTGAATTAGCGGTTTTAATGTGATAGAATTGGGAAATCATCTAAAAATATGAGTAACCATATTAAGTATTTTGGTTCTGACCACACCTACTTTGGGGGATATACTACACGGTCTTTGGTCTGTGAAAGGTTGTACATTGTTGCTTTCTTGTAATGTAGATTCTTCAGTATGCATTACAGAGGTTAACAGAATTGGAGGAATGCAAGGATGAGGCCCTGAACTAAAAAGTTTTAAAGGGGTAGAATGATAAGGACATAAGTTAGTGAAAGGACAGAACTGATGCTTTATCTAATTTACAGTGTTTCTGGTGACGTTTGGTGAGCATTAGGAGGGATGAGAGGCAAAGAAGATCCATTAAAAAAAACTAAAGCACCTATACTGGTCACAAGAAAGCAAAAACAAAGTCCATGTTAAGGCAACGCCTTTCTTAGACTAAGTTAAAATTTATAAAATAGCATGTGAGCTTTTGAGTTTTCAAGAACTCCACATAATCCAGAAAATAAAAGAAGCAGTGGGGAACAGGGTGGGGAAATATTAACTGAAGTTTGCTAATAACTGATCCATGTTTGCAACAATTTCAGGGTCATAGGCAGATACAGCACTTGGATCCTACCAAATACAGAGATGGTGTTAGGTTGCACCAGGCTTCTCTCTCTCAAATTTGATTTGGAAGGAGAAATAAGCAAGTGATAATTGTGCATTATTGAGCTAGATGGCAGAATGGCAAGGGCAGAGAGATCTGGGACCACCCACCGCTCTGCATTCCAAGCCCTGCCTCCACCCCTCCTCACTCACCCAGGCCGAAATGGGCAACAGGCTCCATCTCACACAAGTACCCAGACCCTCCATCAATGATGCGCAGATGGGCACCACTGTGCCGCGTGAACAGCACCACTTTAGCACCACGAGCAAATGCCCCAAAGCGTGTACGTGGAATCACCCGCAGCCAGTTGTTGCCAGCACCCTGTGGAGATGGACAGACAGACACAGCCGAAGGATGAAGTGGTCATGGAACTGAGGAAGGACTTTCATGCTTGTTGACAGGTAGATTTGATTTTAAACGTATTAACAGAGGTACCTTTCTAAACCCACCTCACTGACTTTGAAGACTGAGAGTGGCTGTGCCATGGATTCGCCATGTGAAAGAATTAAATCCAGCTTCCCATCACCATCAAAATCTACCACCGCACCTCCTAAAATAATATAATCTCAGTAAGGAAATGTATCTTTGGTCATCATTTTTGTGAAAGGGCCACATGATTTAGTGGCAATATTGAATGATATAATGCCCAACATGAGAAAAATCAGAATATACTTTCTTCATTTCTGTCCTTGATTCCATTCAATTTCCCTGCAGTGGTGTTTTCTGTGACTATTTACTCCACAGGCACCTTCTCTTCCTAGTGCCAAATCCTCTATTAATCAGATAGTTTCTGCTACTGATACTCAGGAATTAAGTCTCCTGGCTGTTGATAGGAACCACACACAAAGGTCACTCTTTTCTTCCTTCATATGCTTTAAGAGGCAGCCAATCATGGGAACAACCCATAGGCCTTGGGGTCAGGTCACATGGATGTTTTGTCTCTGAGCCTAAAACAAATAATTATGCTCTTGTTATGGTGCATCACAGGACCCAGGTGGCAAGATCTGCCAACCTCTCCCTTTCTCCCTCAAACATCTGCAGTATTTGCATATGTTCATTGAGTGTTTACAAAATACAGATCCCATGCAAACATTGTATAAATACACTATTATATAAAACCATTACACTCAGAATCTGACATTTCCTAACTGTGCCACTGCCCAGCAACCTAGATATCTAGATTTTCCTGGCACAGAGAGGGGTCACCGGTACACAGTTATCACTGGCAGAAGGTCTGTCCCAATCATTGCCAATAGGTTACAGCAACCTCTTTTATATCTGTGTTATTCTTGCTAAGTGATACATGATAATCATGCTCCACAAAAGACATCACAATGATTCACCTGTGCCACGCCCCTCTGGTTCCACAGCATCACCAGGGTTTAGTTCTTCAATAGCTGGGTCAGCATGTTCTCGGCGGACAACCCTGCAACAGCGAAGGACTGTAGTAATTAATGTTGTCCTCCCAGAACAGGGCCTTAATTTTGCAAGCCTATTTCTGGTGGTCACCACCCTGAATCACAGCCTAAGTCTGCTTTTGCCACTGTTCTTTTCTCCGGAAGAGACCTTGCACATTTGCAAAATGATAAATTTGGCATGGACTCCCTAGACTTGCCATATGCTGCTGCTATCACTTTATTAGTCAGAGAAATGTAAGCAACTCTGTTTAACAAGCCATTGATTGCCTACAATTAATGGGAACTGTGCATAAGTGCTAATTAGTGAAAGCCAGACCTCCAGGGATGTGGTCTAGGCAGAATAGACTGCTGTATCAGTAGTGAGATAGTCACAACACTGTCAGCTGTATAAAGAGTGGCTGGAACTGAATGGGCCCCTTTCCATTCTGGTGGAACCATTTCACTCCTGTGGATTATATCATAGGAGAGTAAATGACAATGTATAATGGATCAAGAATTATCCCTCCCAGCTCTCTCATCTCGTTCTTGGTTTGCATGCAGAGCTTTTTAAAGACATGATGATTTCCACCAGACTATGCTGCTGGGAAACCTTTCCTGCAGTGCCCAGGGCCAAGCAAGATGGGGAGCCCACTGCCCCAGCCTCTGGTGGCCCTGCGGCTCTCACCCACCGGAAGAGGCGGTTGGCAGATGAGCCACGATACGCGATGTTGTTGAAGAAGACTTCCAATTCCTGGTCATTGTCAAAGTCAGCAGCGATGACAGTGCGGACAGGTGATGGCATGGACAGTTTGGGCGTGGCAATGTCCTGGGGGAAGGATGGGGATTAGTGGGACAGGGCTTGGGCTTGTAGAGGATGTAAAGATTAGGAATAGATTTAGGCAACTGGATATATTATAGCTGGGCTGAAAAGTAGGGAGCTAATGAAGTGCAGCAGGAGATGTTAAAAGACTATATAGTTTCATGCAAGGAGTTTTCTTCTGCTGATGGCTAGAAACCAAGATGAGGAAAATGCTGCCAGATCTACATTGCAGGAATAAGGAGCATTCTTGAGCTGTGAGATAATCCTTCAAAATAAGGAATTTCAGTCATCCAACTGGGGTAGAGACATCAGTCTCTTTGGTGATTGGATCTAATCTTATGTGCTCCATTCTTTCTTACATTATTTCATTACTGGAGTCCCCACATCCCCTTTCCCTGCTCAGAGCCCAGGACATTCCAGGCATATACTGGTTTTGGACTTCTCTTTTCCAGATGGCACTTACCCGGAAATGGATACGCCCACCTGCATTAATCTGCAGATAGAGCCGGTGTGGTCCATTCCAGTTACCATAGATTAGGTCAACTTTGCCATCACGATTGAAGTCAGCCAGTGCCACTCCACGACCATGCTGGTAGGGATCATCCAAGCCTACAAGAGGATGACAGGGAAGTCAGCAGGATGAACATTCCCATGTACTATACCGAACTGAATCCTCTGCTGTTGTGGAGCTCAAGGAATTCAGGCTCCATAGTGGTGGTGGACAGAAGAGGGTTTTCTGGCAGATAGTGCTCCTCACTGAACTTGCCAGTGACAACAGGGCCATGGACAAAAAGAATTACAGATTGTGTGGTATGGCTAGTTGAGTAGGCAACTGAGAGACTGGAAATCTGCTATTTCACTTTCCCCCACCCGATCTCCTTCTCTCCTTCCAGCCAATGTGTTCCTATTCTCTTGATGACATGGAAGGAATGTTTCTAAAGAGAATAGGTGTCATCAGCAGCACGGCAGTGATGGATGCCAGCCTGACATCTCGTTAAACTCCAGTGATCATCAGCCAGACGCTAAATAACTGGTGGCTGAGCCTGGGTGCACTTATTATCCCCCTCCTTTCCCAGGAGCAGGCAGGGTGGGATAGAAAGAAATCTCAACTCTACTAGGATTTACAGTGTCCAGCAGCTACATAACCATTTTCATCTTGTAAGACACGCCCCCCCTCAAACGCCCTCACCCAGGCTGTATACTCACCAGTACTGGGTGCTACATCAATGAAGGTACCATCACCCTGGTTCTGAAAGAGGAAGTTGGCTCCGTTCTCATTATCACAAAATATGTCAGAGGCAGCTTCACTGAGAATGGGACCCACCGCTATGCCCCGACCCCCTGGGAACAAGAGGAGTGAAAGCTCCAGAGCACCCCCAAACACTGCTCCCTGTGAAGTAGGTAGCTGCACTGGGAATAAATTCTAGCTAGAATGTAAGATCAAAAAAGCCCCACCAGTGGATTCATTCTCCTACTTCCCATCTCTGTCCACAGTTAATCCTATGAATTGATAAACATTAAAATTCACTGTGAGGTTGGTGGTCACTTTTTACCATCAAGTTCCATAATACCCACCTAACTATTTCGTAAGAATTCAGTGCCATAGAGTCTGAATGCTGAACCAAGACCTCTTAAGAGAGACGAGACGAGAATCAGAGACTGATCCAGCATAGTGTGAGGCAAGTTTTCTCTCCATCTCAGAGGTCTGGTTTCTGGAAGCTACAATTTAGCTGGTAACTACTATTGCATTGCCCTAACCCTAGCTGTGTCTGGGCTTTGTAGGATTTTAAGAAATGTCCAATGGAAGGTACTGAAGCAAAATGGTATCCATCACACAGAACTCCCATTTCTTTCCTGCTGGAAGCCATTTTATTTTTTCCACAATGCAATATGGAGAATTGCAGGAAAAACAAAAGTAGGCTGCTGTTCAGATGAAATGCTACCATGGAAAAAACATAAATGACACTCTATGGTACTAGAAGATGAATTTATTCTGAAACTTACGGAGCACAACAAAGGAAAAGCCCCTGGAGGACACTTTGTAAGAGGTCCTTCAAACCTGGGGCTCTTTCTGATCAAAGGTCTCCCCAGTTTATATCCTCAGGTTTTCTTACTGTCCTCTTCAACCTTCATATGTTGAGCTAGCACTCAATACAGCACTCAATACAGCCCTCTGCTTCCCTCATACCTGTGAATTTATTGACTCCAGCATCTGCAGCCACATCATTCAGTGCCACAATGCCACGCTCTAGGTCACTGGCAGCTGTATCCATCTCAATGAGGGCATGAGGACCAACCCTTCCATTGGCATAGTTAGCTATGTAAATGGAATACCGGCCAGAGCCCTGCAGGAAGGAAGGAAGTGGAAACATTTAGCACCTGAGCTCCAATGAAGCATTCCCATCCATACCCCACATGTGGACACAATGGCTAGATTCATACAACACGCAAACCCCCAAACCAGATGAACAAAACACGATTCCTATGTTCCTATGTTCATATATCATGCCCAAATAAACTGTCATGGTGTAACACAACTATCTGGTTCATATAATGAAATGGCTGAGTTCCCAAAACACGCTGAGTCACAAAGTACCCAAGCCCACAGTCTGGCACATTGTGTGAGTGCATCCAAAGGATAGCAGGTCCACAGCTTGATAAGGATGAGTCTGGTATGGAAAACACCATGCCAGTCCCTGGAGCACACAAGCAGAAACAGTCTAGTCAGACATGGTTGTTTTCTTCCCCTTGCTAGGGGGCTTCCAAAAAGAACATGCCAGGCCTTCACATGCCCACATTTGCCCCAGGCTTTTCTGTCAGCCACCATCTGCCCCCTTTTGTTCTCCCATGGCACCCTGATTTAGCAATAATCATTGGAAAACAAACCACGCAAGGTAGAGAGAGAAGAAAATGCAGGTGACAGGGGCATAAATCACCCAGACAGGCGGTGTTTATCAGCAGCACGGCACTCGCCTGGCACTGCAGCCCCTGATGGGAGTCCTGACAGCTGTGGGGGAGGGGGCAGCGCCTGGTCACAGAGGAGCTTGGTGGAGAACAAGGCCTCTCCAAGCATGTTTTCTCTCTTTATGCAGCTTAGATGATGCCTCTTCACTTCCCAACTGCCATCTTCTGCATTCTGAAATGATAGCCTCAGCAATGCCATCTCAGCCTGCCCATGCACTCACCAGCCTGTCCACGCATGCCACGGAACGCCCAGCAAAGCGGCTTGCCACAGCCCGATTCACCTCATCACTCAAGATGTCCTCCCAGTGCCCATTGCGGAACTTGAAGAGTTTATCTGTATAGGTGGCTACACCTGGGGAGGAGAGAGGGGACATCAAGCATCTTATGGCCCCAGGCTATACTCCATGTGAGCATTTTCTCCTGTCAAAGATAGGGAACCAGGCAGAGCTGCACTTTCTCCAGAACCTTAACCGCGTCTTTAGGTAAAAGGGCTCTAAGATTCCAGGGATCAGAGGTGGAAAGATTTGGCATAATCCATTCTGAAACATAATTGCATTGTGCAGATGTGAAATCTCTATGTATATGCAGATGGTGAATTTAGCCATCAGACAATCCCCACCCCACCCTGTCACTGCAAATGGAGCCCTTCTTTATCTTGTCTGCTTTGAGTTCCTGATCGTCAGCCTTTACAGCTTCTCCACTCCAATCCCCTCACTCGGTGAATGTGTAACTGCTAGCCAGGATGCGGGGCTGCGACTGGGACTGCACTGCTGCGAATGCAGCAACCCCAGCAATGCTTAAGGGTTGGTAAGGGAGGTCCAGAAGAACATACTCATTAAGGAAAAATGTGCCAAAGCAGCATGGAGCCATGCACATCATAAAGGGAAAAGGGAAAAGAAAAAATCGATGGCCAGACCCCGACACCAGGAGTAATGTGAATGGCTGATTTAAGGAGTGGGAGTCTTTGGCAGCTGCAAAGCAGTAATTAGGTATGTCAGGAAGACAGATAAGCAGAACCCAGAGCAGGTCGATGAAGCAGGTGAAGGGCCCAGCCCAACTCTGGTAGCAGCAAGGGCCTGGCACTGGTTTTGGCGAGGGAGAGGTCCACAGAGCTCCAAAGAAGGGCTTCGAGCAAAGGCACAGAAGCAGAGTGGGAGGAAAGACAATTGTCATTCCAGGGTTATCACAAGCTATTCAGCGAGAGTCTAGAAGCAGCCAAAATCCAGCACGGAATCTTCACAGAAAAGCCTGTGGTCAAGCAACATTTCCCAGAAATTCCCACAAGCCCCCCTGAAGCTCAGAGAAGAAAAGGGGCCTGTTTTCTGACTGCAATTTCTGTTAAACCTTAAGGAAGGGCTAGGCCTTAGGATTGGGCTGGCAGGGCAAAGATAGCTCTACATATGTGACTTTGGCAAGAGCATACAGTGAAGGGGTCTAGTGCCAGCCTAGCAGTTAGGCAATCATTTTCCCAAAGGAAAAAGATAATGGCAGTGGAATCATAGAGGGTTAGATGCTTCAGAAGTCCACCATCTTTCCTCTATCCTATTCACCTCAAGGAACATTGCCCCAGAGGCACTTGTTCATCCCCTGCAGTTCTAAGCTCTCAGAGCTGCAGTCACTGCTGGCAACGAGAGATGTGGCAAAACCCTGAGTCAGCAACCAAGTCTCTCCACATCCCCCCCCCCACCCGTCTGCCAGCCCCGCTGCTGCCAGAGAATTGACAAAATCACTCAGCTGGGAAATTAACTCCAGGCTTGAAACATCCCACCCTGGTGGCCAGTGAAGGTCAGGAAACTAAAGTCAGTGGTACAAGGCTAGCAGGTGAAGCCCCAGAGTAAACTATGCAAAGGACAGCCTACATGGTACCACAACCAAGAAAGAAAGACAGCTGAACAGACTCCTGGTCTTCAACCAACCACATCACTATGTGCCCCCTCTGAGAATCACTCCCACGCTTTCTGTCACCTGTTTTGTTCAGTTTAAATAAATGCTGGGAACTAGTCAGTGCTGTTCAAGCTGATAAAATGGGATAATTTTCAGAGGCATATAGTATGTTGTAGTGACAATGACGAAATCCTATTTTGGCAGTGAATGTTAATTAACAAGTTGAAGCCATAGGTTTAATGGGGTCATGAGGTGGAGGTGTCAAAGCATGAATGAGTGAGGATAGCATATGAAGGAGATGCAATATGTAGTCAGCACTGGAAGACTGATGAATATGGTGGGTGAAGTGATACTGATTGGCAGGATTTGAGGGGATGGATATCAAAGTTGGGTGGATATCACAAGATGAAGGAAAATGCATAGGACATGTGAGATGCCTGATGCTTTAATTTGGTTGTCGATGGGAAGTTAAACGTCAGGGATGGGTGGCTTTGACACATACCAGAAAAGGCATTATTGGTGTTTAGGAAGTAAATCTCCTCCCATCCATCTCCATCAATGTCACAGGCTGTCACACCAATTGCATTGCCCTGGCGATCCCTCAGTGCATAGTAGGGGGAGCTGTGTTCATCCACTGCAAGATTCAACAGCCGTCCCCGTGCCTTGTCGTACTTCAGCACTAGGTTGGGTCCATTGTACCTGAAGGAATAGAGAGTAAGGAATGACGCAAGAGTGAGCAGTGAGTAGTTTCAGATACCAGCCCTTCTCAGTGGTTTTCTTCTATCAAAGTGAAGTCTTCTATTGCTGCTAATGCTAGTCCCTCAATTTGGCAGCCAGGCATTCCCACTATCTTCTGTTCTTGAAGAAGAGAAAGGAATGGACCGTAATAAAGAGAACAGTGGTGGGAACCAATATGCTTTCCATATTTTCTAGTCTTTTCCACTGCTCTGCCTTATTAAGAAGCCAGTAACTCAGTCTGAGTTCTAGCGTACTGGATTAATTACCTCCCTGCCTCTCTTCTGCCATAATGAATTTGTTAGATTTTAATGAGCCACAAGGCTCTCAGTAACTGCCACAACTACCTTTCGGTCCCATTCTGTGGGAAAAAGTCAACAGAGAAAAAGGAATAAAGCCACTGTTTTCCTCATGTCTGGTGAACACATCACAAATTTATGAAAAGTGCTTTGAAAGACAGATTTAATACATTAATCTGGTAAGATTTCAAGACACATAATTCACTAAAGTTGATTAAAACCCTTCACAGGACAATGTACAAAGTTTAGGAGAAGGAGTGATGCTTATGAAGTTTAGGATTATATTTTTTAAAATATTAGGAAAGTCTATTTTCTCATCCAGTGCAAAGCAAATGCTACGGGTAAAAATGTTATGCCGCTTACAGTAATACATGTTTAAATCAACATTTTCTTTCACCACAAAACTTACACTGTTGCCTTCTTCCTTCTTCAGATTAGTGAGATTCACTGGGATAAATAGGTTAAAGAAAAAGGATCTGGAAATGGGCTGGATTTTGTGTTTCCTATATTTATGGAGGTAGAGTTCCTTTTCAAAATCTTTTCTGTCCTTAAAGGAGATCAAGGCTGGACCATTTAAAGGGCCAAGCCTGCATCAGAGGCTGAGTTTTGTAATGTGTCAGTGGGTCTATGAAAGACACTTAGTGACATGCTGAAGGATTTGGGGATCAAGTGAGGCACTACTGGGGCTCCTCAGGAAAATGGTGACCAAATGGTAAAGGCCCCAAAGAAGTTTCTTTTTAACTTCTTTAAGACAACTAATGTCTTCAAGATGCAAATAGGTTTCTCCTTTTTAATTCAGGAATCAAGACTTACCTGGAGCTGTATTGTTAAAAGGCATATGACATGGGTTTGACTTGAAGCCCTTGTCAGGGAGAGGCACTGGAAAGATCTCTGATACAGAATTGACAGAAACCTAAATTACTGCAGGATCAGATCAAGAATAGTGCTTTTACTGAGTACTTATCTGTCTTATTAATGGATTTGGCCAAAGTATGCCCTTCCACATGAAACCTCTAACTCTATAATGTATAGAATTCTGTTTGTTTGATTAAGGGAGAGTTCTGAATTCTTTTAGACATCCATCCGTGTTAACATCGCACAATGCAAAGTTGCAGAAACGCCTGAGTGGTTTCATCTGGCAGCTAATGATGTGTGACTCTAATGTGGTTAGCATAGAGTTTGCTAAGGCTGAAAATGTACAGCAGAGAGAGAAAATACAGCAGAGAAGGAGGGCAGGGAGGGGAGTCCTAGGAGCTAGTAATAAATATAGAATTTGGTAAAACCTTGAGGGCAGTATTTGAAAAACCAGGAGAAAACATCTGTCCTGAAAGGAGATCAAGACTGGACCATTTAAAGGGCCAAGCCTACATCAGAGGCTGAGTTTTGTAATGTGTCAGTGGGTCTATGAAAGGCACTTAGTGACAGTATTTGGCTATTGTTGCTGTTATCTTTTGGAATGGAGGACTTTGTAATCTGAAGTAGGAAAAACTGCCTTCAGAAAACATGGTAATCCTCTGTAGGTCTTGTTCATATTTGGGGCAATGTATACACTTTCTGATTCTTCACCCTTTAACAAAAATAGATTCAGACAACACTGGTTTATATTATGGCTGAAATTATTATATAATAGTCTGACTCTTGGAATATTTCATGTACTTGAATAAGAACTCCAAGATCTCCCATATTCTACCTCAATAAAGATCAATGGGAAAGAAATGTTCATGTAATAAAAGCTTAACATTCTTCTGGGTTGTTCCAGCATCTCTTTCAGCATGATATTCTTCAGTTCATTTAAACACTGCATAATTTGAAATGTGCTATATTAGAAAGCACAGTACTGGCAATCCTAGGGTGGAAATCTTCTTTCAAAAGGTTGCACTCTGTTATCCAAAGGTTTCTAAATCTGGGCAGCTGCAGCCTGTGGCTGGATGAGATGCTTTGTTATCCTTTATTAGGAGCAATATCAAAAGGAAATTAGAAATACTGGGTATATTAGATCTGCAAATGATACTTGTAAACTTTGCATAGTTTCAAGATTCTGTTCTGGTGGAAGCAATTATAATCTATTTCTTATTCTTAATCTAGGAAAATTCAACATACAGGTTTTGAGTGCCCTGGCAAAAGAATACTCTGCTACAACTTGTAGGACCTTCCCTGTGCCAGCCTGCCAAGGTACTAAGATCTACTCAGTACTAAGATCTACTCAGCTATGATCAAATCTCCCTTCCACCAAAGTGCCAGCGTTACTACTTTTTCAGTACCAGGTTACATTTTTTGCCCCCTCTGGCATTTTAGATGACTTGTTTATTGTTGTCATAATTGTTTTTTAATGCATTGCCTTTTAAATGTGTTATGATTACATTCTCTTTTGTTTTTATTATATTCTATTCCAATTCTGTCAAGGGGCTTTAAGCCTAAATACCAAAGAAGTCACTATTGTGCCCTAAAGATGTATATATGTATGGGGGGGGGGCAGTTATAGTGCATCTCAGACTAAAGCTGAGGTAGAAGTGTGGCAAAAGCAGAAACTTGTCCTTTTCAGGCTACAAATAAATACACAGAACATCTCAGAACCAGGCTCCAATTGCTCTGCTAAGGCCATAACTGAAGAACTATGTGTCTACTTTAGTAAGAATATTAACAACTTGGTGACAGTTTAGGACTGAGTGATGTAGATGTTAGGTCTGGAATGCACATCCATGAAGGAAGGTCAGAGGAATGATGGGAATAAAAAGGATGGATGGATTCAGGTGAAGTACACACAGATGAATAAGTTTTCTGGGTAAAGTTCCCTTCTAAGAAATCTGAATCAGTCCAGAATTAATCAGGAATAGGTTGCACATTATTGTTACCCAGAGGAATATCTTACTGCAAAAAGCTTTCCCCCCAAATGGATGATGACTTCCACCGTTCCCAGTGAACTTGGTTGAATTGGCATCCTGACTAGCAATAATAGCACAAATGCATTTAGAGACCATCATCTGGGGGATAGCTACAACCTTTCCCAATTGGCCACTCTCAAAATGTTTTGAACTACCTTCCTCATATTCTCCAATCATATGTTGGATGGGTCTTGTGGGATTTGTTATTTAAAATATCTAGAGGGGACTAAATTAAGGAAAGCTGCAGGGTAGATGTCCTATATAAGGGAAGCCTACAAATCTAAGGAACCATGATTTTATGGCAGTCAGTAAGATTGGGAAAAATGCTGATTCCTGCACCTGGAATTTCATATCATTTACAATTATTATCTATCAATATTTTAAATAATTGCAATGTTATTAGATATGAGATGTGCAGTCCAGCTTTCAGTCTCCTTGTGTTAAAGCACCGGTTGCAATTATTTCAGAAGGGACCATTACTTTCTTTCTTTTAGGAATATTTGAGAATTAGAACTGATTTCTCCAACTTGGAGTCCTTCTCATTCCTAACTCCTGGCTATAGTTAGGGGTGAGGTACTGCAGTCTGACAATTGGAGGGCAGCAGGATGGGGAAGCCAGTATGCTGAAGTCTACATGTGACAACAGCTTCATCAGAATAGCCAGTTCATTACCTGATACTTGTTTGCTTTTGACAGGACTACAAAAATCCTAGATAAAGATTCTGAGGATCCTTTAAGTGCATCTGGACTCATACAGTTCTAATATGTGGCAGGTATTGTTTCCTGTGTGATAACTTGCCTCTTCTTAATTATACATTAATGCACCCTTGGCAAGCATGCACACATTCCTGATTGTTCATTCATGGGAAACTTCCACTTTCTCCATATGCACATTTGTCAATACATGTCCAACATGACCACTCTGAAGGCAAAACATGCTGTTCCTCTTTGAGCAGCTGGCCAGGCTGGTTTCCATTTCCTTCTATCCTTCCTCTTCAAAGGACTGTCAGATTAGGGATGCAAGGAGCACACAGCTGAATGCCTGCTCACTCCTGTGCACCAACCCAAGCCAAGCACACTGTCAATAATGCGACGAAGCACTCCCTCACTCTGCTGCAGCCAATTAACACAATGTCAGGGTGCACACTGAGGCTGTCAGAAGAGCGAGAGAGAAGGTTGCCCCTCCTCAGAGAGAAAGTTTGTTTTTCTTCAGGTCAAACCAGGGGGCTCTTCCACATGTCTGGACTTGCCTAAACCTTTCCTTACCTATGTGAAATACCTGCCCGTCCAGAGTTTTCTAGGCTGAATAAGATAATCTGGGTTCCAAAGCCTCTGTATAAAGCAGCATTCCCAAGCCTACTGTTTTCTAGTTGCACTGGGATTACAATTCCCAGAATTTCCAGGCAGGGGAATTCTAGAAGCTGTCATTACAACACAGCTGGAGGGCACCAAGCTGGGGAAGATCAGCATGAAGAATGGAATGGAACTGAGTTCTCCAACCTGTGTGAAAAGTTAACTAACCAAGGCACGTACACAATATTCAGCATTAACACAGGTGATACGTCAATAAGGGGAATGTTTGCATTTGATACAGGATTCAACGGTTCATTCTCTACTTCTGATGCAAGGGTTGTTGGTTAAGTAGCCAAAAGAGTACCCTACGACACAGAAGGAGACATCTGTAAATTTAAAGTACTGACAATCTGGTCAGTGGGGGGGGAGAAAAAAATGAACTAATTCAGTGATGATTTGACAATTCAGTTTCATGGAATGCTAATTCATTTGGGGGATGAAAAGAGAGAAGACAGGAAGAAGAAATGAAGTGGATGGCATCCAGAACTGTAGATCACATTTCAAAGTTTTGCTGAAAGTCCCTATTGATTCCTAATTTTAAATAATGATAATATGTATTTATTTATTAAATTTATATAACCACCCATCTCACGAGAAGTGACTCTGGCTGGCATACAATAATCAAATAAAAACAATGCATATATAAAAACAACCATTTAAAATATTAAAAAGTCAACACTAAAAGTATAGATTAATTAAAACTAAAATATATACAATATAATCAGGTTTATTCTGCATGTCATGGAAAGGCTCTGTTTGGGAGCTTACATATTAAACTACTGGGAGAAGTCATTCTTCAGTTTGGGGTGGATATTATTAGTATGAGTATGATATCTAGTTGTATGGCTCTACCTCAGCCAAGAAGGAGATATAGTAGAAGTCTTGATCTGGTGCTTGGAGGCTATGAGAAGGTTCCAGCTACAGTAATTTATGACCTTGTCATCTCCTGGTTAGATTGGGATACGCTGTAAATGGGCAGCCCTTGAAAACAACAGAGTATAGCAGAGTAACAACTATTTTATAAGGGCTATATTGGTTCCCAGCTGACTTCCAGCTCCAATCCTGATTCTTTAGGGTTTAGGTCCTTGTTAACCCTGGGACTGTCTACTCCAGATACCAGTTGTCCATCCAATATGTGCTAGCTGATATGATATGCTGCATGTCCTCCTAGGACATGAAGGAAATGGGTGCTTGGAGGCAGGCCTTTTTGGATGCTGGGCCCTAGTCTGGAACAGCCTGCCCATCCAGTCTGGATGACTCCTTCTGTGTTATAGTTCAGGAAGGCTATAAAGATTGTTCTTCCACAGAGCCTGTGTAGCAGCAGGCGGACTGCAGTGTGTGGAGTAGTTTTATGTTTTATTGATATGAGCAACCTTCGAGGAGGTGGCATACAAATGGATCCAAATAAAAACTTGCTAGCCATGCAGCTGTGATTCTGCTAATGAAAGACCCTGCAAAACCTCTGAGACAGAATGCAGCTTCAGGCACCTGAGGTCCCTAGCACCCAAGTGAGGATGAAACAGAAAAATGTGGGACTCCTGAAACTATGGCCCTAGTAGTCCATGTGCTGCTATAGGAATGGAGTGAATAGATGGAAAACAATTTAGCAGGAGTTAAGATTTGCAGGGAAAATCAAGGCCAGGAAGAGATGAGAGAGCTTGGTGAAATGAATTTGGTTACAGAAACAAATTCCCCGTTTTCTAGGAAATCCTAGACAGAAGAGCTTTTCAATGGATATATACTCTTTCCAGCTCAGTGCAGCTGAGACATGTTTTATGAGCAGTACAAGTTGTACAAGTAGTGGCCAGGTATAAAGAGACAGTCCCCTCTGGCACCTATTTCCTAGGTCATGATTCCAACCTGGCCAGGTGGGGGGAGCCGGGGTGGGGGCTGAGAAGACTGCAGGCAGAGGCAGTCAATCAGGGAAATGATGTGGGAGACAGTTAAGTTGTAAGCTTTGAGGATGCAGCTGTACAGTAGCTCTACTGAAAATGCACATTCACATCTGCAACTGAACCATTGCACAGATGTTACTTCTGGTTTATTTCAGGGGCTCCACACCAACCTTTGCATGTCCTAAGAGCAAAGTGGAGTATGCATACACACACTTTTCCTTCCTTTTACAGCCTTCCCCAACTTAGTGCCCTAAAACCAGATCCTGCTAACTGGGAATGATAGGAGTTTTAGTCCAGAACATCTGTAAAACACCACAAAGATAGCAATGCCTGAGTTTTTCTGAGAAACAGGGTCTGAATTCACACACTGTATTAAACCTTAATGCAGTTTGTTTGGTTTTGAATTAATATAATACGTGCATCCAGCTATTGTGGTTATAAGGTGGTTTAGGGCTATCAAGCCTAGCCCATTCTTTCTCCTCAAACATGGCTCCTTGGGTGATGGCAGCCCCCCCCCTTCCCACACACCCAGCAACACTCAGCATTTTCCATGGTACCCACCCAGCCACGACAATCTCGAAGTCTCCATCCTGGTCTACATCAGTCACAGCCACGCCATAGTTGAGCTGAGTTGGGTTGCTGTCATAGTCAGGGGGAAGGATTTGATCCGTGACTGCTGTGAATATGGGTTTACTGCGCTGGGATCCTTCACCAGGCCAAGGCAGAACCAAGCTCCACAACAGCAGTAGCAGCAGCTTTGGCACCTACAACAGAGAGGCATGTGGCTACATCACCCATTCATCCAGTTGCTGGAAAGCATTGTTTTCCATGCAGGAATCCTGTAACAGACTATAAAACTATGGAAAATCTAGCTTGTTTTTTGCCCATTTCACTGCTACTTACCCTTGCAGGTAGTCTTTGGCAGGGATCTGATATAGCCATCCTGTTAAATTCTTAGGGCAGAGCTGCCACCACCCCTTGCAGAACTGGGCAGGCAGTTTTGGAGACTTTGGTTTGGTTTGGGATTGGCCAGCAGTTGTCTACTGCTCAAGTACCAATACAGATGTTGTTTGTTTTAATCCAGTGTAGGCAGGGAACTTCTGTTTCTTAATCTTCTGAGCTTTGGGGGGGAAGCGCTGGAATGCTAGATCTATGGCAAATCTGAGCTGGTGCCAAGAGCAGGATGTGCTGACACTATAGTTCGTACCAAGCATCTAGTTTCAGGACCGAAAGTGAATTCAACTGCCTCAGAATTCACACTGGGATGTGAAACCATATTTGCTTCAGAGTTCCACATCCCTGCTGAAGAGAAACAAAAAGACACTAGATTAGACTATTAAATCTCACATTTACCCTTCATTCATCAGAATTAAAAGGAAGAGAAAGGCCCTTAATCCATTCCTTCAAGAAAAGTGTCCTATCTCTCCCCTTTGATTCCATCAAAGGGCAAGAGTTGATTTTGTTGCTAGTCTGAACTAGAAGATGGAAGGGAAAGCAGCTATAAAAGAGTATCAGGGTTTAAATATAGTTTAAACATAGATTTAAACATAGATGCAGTGATGTGAGCAAGAATTTAAATAACATCACATTTCTGTTCTAAATTGATCACACCCTACTTCATAACCTTCCAGTAACTGATTAAGCATGATAAGGCCAGAAGATCTTGAGGGCCGTCTAGTCTGCTTCTTGAGGCAGGCTCCTCTTAATATTAACGTGCTTCCACAGAATGTGTGTTGCTCCCTCCTATGGGATAGGCCATGCAAAAAATGAGAATGGCAGGAAATAAAGCATCTTGTGCCACAGATCACCTTTCAATTGAAGGTAGACTCTGAGATAGGATCAGCCTCCTTTACTTCCTGAGAGGGCATTTTCTCAATGAGATTAGTTAATCCCTAAAACAGATGAACATCTCTCTCCTCATTTGTACACACAACCAGAGTAGTTAAAGCTTAGTAAAGAAGGCACTTCTTCATTCTGTCAGTACTCGCATATGGAAACTCTTATATCTTATGTTAATAAGCATCTTTCCTCCCTCAGCCAGGGCTGTCAGCTTGGAGTATTCTTATAATCAGTATTGTAGGTTAGAATCAATAGTGCCTTTAAAGTCCCTTGGGATGAAAGAGTGAAGGGGGAGAAGCCAACCTTTTCATCATGTTTTATCCATCCTGATTGTGTGAATAAGAAGGTTGTCAAAACGCATTATGGAATAGGTAATCTGTCTTATGAACATTTCTACAGATAATATCTCATTAGCTCTATTATTGGCCTTTGGGGACTGCCCCAACCCCTATTAGCAGTACCCTGTGTTATTCACACTTCTAGAAAACAGATATTAAGATAACTCTTGCAAATCTTCCTGCTGGATCCAAAACCAGAGTTGGGCTTGGACTCTTGGGAGTACCCAATCTACCGATACTGACAGGCAGATGGTACTACAACTAGGCACGTCCCAAGCTTTTTCTCCTCCTACTCTAAGATCAGCTAGATCATATTATCTCTAAGACTTCATTGAAATCACCATATGCTCAAAATTATTCTCTGAAGAGGTAATGGATGAAATTTATCTATTTCATTATGCTTTACAATAGAATGTAGGGATGCAGAATTCATGATGTGGCCTGAAATACAGGAAAACTATCCAAAACAAAAACTGAAAACTAGTACTGGACTGAAAGCCTCAGTAAGGTCAAACTTGGTTATTCTTGTTATATAGGGCAGGAGGCACCTGGTGCAAATAATTACAATTAATTATGATTATTATGAATAGTTGTGATGTAACATACCAGAAGCTATCAAGTTCAATCCTCTCATCAGGAAAAACTCTACCTACTCACTTTAGAAACAGTGAAGGAACCATTGGCTAGCTGATATACGTCTATAGGCCTGATGATTAGGTGGGAAGTACAAGAGCAAAATGCATCTTTCTTGTGTTCTTCCACAGCAAAACAATCCATCATACAAAGCTGGTAGCTGGTACTATCCTCCAGTTTAGGCTCAGATTAACTCTTCATTAAAAAGGTTTCCATAAACATAGGATGGTAACAGGCGCCTGGTGACAAAGACAACGTGTTCTTCTGTCGGGCTCCCAGCATTTGGCTTGAGCTAATTAAACTCATACATCAGTGTGCATTTCTAGATAGATCATTAGGGAAATGGCCATTAATTAAGTTGCCTTCCTAAACACGGACAAACATGCACTCAGAGCTTGCACCTGTGCACAGGCAGTCAAGAAAATGTATTTGATCCTTGTATGTAACCCCTGTTCTTCCTCTTGTGGGATTTCAGCTTTCCTCTTGGACCAGATTTTCATGCTCCTGATGCTATCAGATAAGGCTGCTGAATACATTACAAAATCCATATATGGAAAATAGTTCTGTTTAGGCTTATTCTGAACAGTTTCCAATAGTTATGGAGGAAAACTGATTAGGAATCATTATCATGGTTGGGGGGATTACCCTCCAATAAATTTCACAGAAAAAGAACACACATTAGAAATAAATCTCACCACCCACCCCCAAATTTCATTTTTGCCATAGTCCTGCATTACAGTCTACACACTATTTTCCTAGAGATTCTAATACAAATCTACGCAACTTGTGCCCTGGCATTAGCCCCTTCAAAAGCATTGCAGTACAATTCTCATTAACCTTAGGCAGCACATCTTGCTGGATGGGGATGACTGGGATTTGGACCCCAATATACCTGAAGAGTATCAGGTAAGGGGAAGTTAGCATAATGGATACTATCTCCCATTTAAAGCCTTTAGAACTTTCAAAAGGGAACAGAATGCATGATGGGAGACCCAGAGGTGAACTAGTCCCAGGGTGGCTGGTGGTGTTTCTAGTCCAGGGGTGAACAACGTGACAAGTGCACCATTGAACATGTGAATGTCTCCTTCAGTCCTACTGGGTTCCCTGACTTGATATCAATACCATCAATCATGGGTTTTTTTTCAATTAAAACATTAAACTGAGAATCTGGCATGTGGCAAAGCAAGACATCAGCCTCCAGCATCATCACTATTTCAGTGAGTGCCTCTAGTCACCTATGGTCTTCAAACTTACTTAGAAAATAAAAATGGTAGGTGGCAGCAGCCCAGGGCTTTATTTAGACATGAACCTCCCAGGCAAAAAAATCCCAGAGCAAAAGTGAAACTTAGGTTGTGGAATAGAGTATTCTGGGTTGGTGGGTGGGGCCAAAGGGAGTAGTGGGGAGCAATTTCACACTTGTCTTTTATTAAATTGGCAGTTTGTGACTGATGAAGCTCACCATGGCAGCCATTTTGTGATATTGTTCATGACATGACTCAAAATTCCCAATGGGATTACTGGCCCCCAAAGGTTGCCTATCCCTGTTCTGTTCTCAGGTTTCAAGATTTTATCCCCTGGGTTGGGGGCAGCAATTCAGCAATCAGCTGTCGATATGCCTGCAGAAGTCACTGTAGGATGCCCATGGAAAAGCTGCAAGTATCAAGAGAGCAACATGACATGGTAAAGGAACAGCAGGGACATACTATGAAAAGCAGGGAAAATTTTCCCCCCACCCCATGTTCGAACAGGATTGTATAGAAAAGCAAGAGGCTGAAGCGAGGCATTCATTTGCTGTCAACTGTGTTGTTTTTGATCCCTTCCCTTGCCTCTTCAGTTCAGTTCTGAAAATGGAGGATATTGATAGGTTAAGAAGATTCAAGATTAAATCCAGTTTCTTCTTGAACCAACCAGGGTCAGAAACAGTCTTAGGCGTCTGCTAGCATTCCAAGGTACAGACATGATTTTGGGTGCCCTTGGCAGCTGGAAAAAAAATAGCGGACGCCATTTTGTTCTTGTTGTGGACATTGATGGAAATCACCTGCATGACTTCATGCCCTACACATTACCATTTTCTATTATGCCAGGAGGTCAGCTCTTACATGGAGAATGCAGTGTAGACAAGAATGCCCATTCTGAGCCTACGCTGAAGCAAATTTGCCCCAAACACAAGACTGTGATAATAGTTGGATCCCGCTTTTGTAACCTGATGGTCTCTAGTTTGTTAGTCATATGGTTCCAGGTTCTGAATGGATGAAAAGCTTCTAAAACATTAGTGTCTGGTTCAGGGATATGTACTGCCAAATTACAGAAAAGGCACTTCAGGAGGGTATGTCAGCAGCTGCATATTTCCATGACTTTCATGATCTCTTAGGGTGTGGCCGATTACACTGCTATTCGTACCCACATATGCAGAAACCAGAAGGGTTGATGACAACAGATTTCTGTATGTTGGGAAGATACTGGGATTTGCATAACATTCTAACACCATGCAATAATCCCCAAATAAATACATGCTTTGATTTCTTGCCATTGGCTGGGAGGGGGAGGGGGAGCAGAGGAAATTGCCTGTGATTTTCTCACGACAGCAAAAACAGGTTCTCCTAGCAAATCCTGGACTTTCAAATGAGTGGCCACAGCAGAACTAAAAATTTAAGTGCACCATTGCTGTGCATTAGCAAGTAGTTGCTGTTCCAGACTTTCTGCTATTTTCCTAAATGTTAGTTGAACTCCTATGGAACCACATCTCCATTATATACGCTTCTCCAAAAGCCTCACAGTGGCACAGGGCTTCCTGCCTCATTGTGGACTAGTGACATCACTAGGTCACAGAGTCGTTATCCAAATGCATTCCTACATCCTTCTCAGTGACATCATGATGGTTCAGCCAATGACTTGTGCTGACATCAACTGAGCTAATAAACCTTACAAGATGCCAACCCACCATATTCTTGTTCAAAGTGCAGACTGAGTGCAAACAGATTCAGCCCAACAAAAGCATGGCATCATAAAATTCGAGTTTGAGCCTCAGTTATGGCCCAGTATTGCTTCGGGTTCCAATTCTGTTTTTCTGGAGCCACTAACAAGAAAGGGCTACTGGCCTGGCCTGCATTGCTGTCTTTCCAGAGCTTGCTATTCCCAGCTCAGTTCCTGCATTAATACTGCAGGCAAGTGATATTCTTTTCCCCACAAAAGTCAAAGGAATTGGAATCGGACCTATCAGATCTCCAGAAAGCAGCCATAGCTCCAGGGCCCACAGAGTTACACTTCAGAGTTGGAACTGTGCCTCTCCTCGGCCGTGTCAAACTGCAGGGTGTCAAGCCAGCTCCAGCACTGGCACTGCCACCACCAGCAGCTGCCGCCACCAGCAGCACTAGTGCAATTTGGAGAGCGGCAGTCACCTTGGCACTTGGCTTTTGCTCACTGCCGTGAGGCAAGCACTCCAAGAAGCAGCTCCCCGCTCAGGCGAGATCCAGTGTGCCACTGGGCAGCTGACAGCTGTCCCCACCGTGGCTCTTCAGCACATGCCCAACACAGAAAAGGGCTTCCCCGTCCCCACATCTGTCAAACCTCACTTCCACTTCTTACTCCCTAGCTTCCAAAGCCCGGGCTTCTTCACGCAGCCCCTCCCTACCGTTCTCTCCCAGAATCCCACTCCTCAATCCAAATTCCGCCCGCCCGAGTCTCACGTGGCGCTTGACTGTGTCCACATAGTCCCCCCCCGCCCCGCCTCATCCGCCAACTCGCAACTTTTCTTCCCCACCCAACGTCTCCACCTCTTTGGGAATTTGGGAAAGTTTGCTTCGGTCGGTGTGTACACAGTGGGCAGGGAACAGTTGTACTCACCGGGCAAGTGGGTTGCG